CAGTAGTAGAAAGATCACGTGAATTAGTTCACGTGATAACCATACAGTAGTAGAAAGATCACGTGAATTAGTTCAAGTAATAACCATACAGTAGTAGAAAGATAACGTGAATTAGTTCACGTGATAACCATCCAGTAATAGTAAGATCACGTGATTTAGTTCACGTATTAACCATACAGTAGTAGAAAGATCACGTGAATTAGTTCACGTGATCATAACCATCCAGTAGAAGTTAGATCACGTGAATTAGTTCACGTAATAACCATGCAGTAGTAGAAAGATCACGTCAGCAGTTGGATCAAGGAAATCAGGTCACGTGATGAACAGTAAGATCATGTAAGCAACAAGTTCACGTAGATCTGTTCACGTGATAATAAGTAGTAAAATTACATGAACGGCAAGGATACGTACATCAGTTCACGTSTTCACTCTCTTTTAGGAGGAGTATAACAAGTGGATGACTAGAAGCGAATTCTTACTGGACAGCGGTATTTCTCTGGCTCCAAGCTTCTTCGATTTGTGTAAAGCGTACAGCAAAACTCCAAAAGAGAGAGCTAGGTGCTTCGTGATGGAGGGTGTAGCAACATGTTCATTCTTCGATCAACGGAAAGGATTGGAGTTGATTAGACAAGGAGAGCAAGTGGACAGGAGTGTCTTGGAGGTATCGAGACAGCACCCTTTCTCCTATATATATAGTATCTAATAAAGCCAACAACCATAAAGCATAGCTCTTACCGCCCAACTTTTATGAATTGAAAAATAAATCTTAACCAAAATGTTCCATTTCTATATCTAACGGTCTTGAAGCAGTTCGAATCCCAGTTTTCGTATGCCAAATCTAATTGTATAGGATTCTGAAGTAGTTTTTGGGATAATTCTGGGATAAGTCAAGGCCCGGCTACTGAACTGACAGATTGAATTAGAATTTAGGTTGTTGGATTTTGTGGAGGGAAGATATCAAAATCAGATACCCAAATAAATAAATATAAGTAAATCTAATCGAATTGGGAACACTTTTCGCACACACACTCTTACACTAAACTATTCAATGTTCTATGCACACGACGCACATGTTGATTTTTACCACTCATAAACTAGCTTGGGTGAGGGGACTGCAACGCGGGACGTATTAGCCGCGTAGACCAACCATGCTAAGCCATAAACCTGATGTTCGTTTGCATTCGTTATTCAGGAAGCTAGCAACAAATGGAAGACGAAAGGGATTGCTGAATTCAAGAACAGAAACTACCAAATATCGAAGCAACTTCTACAAAGAGCACTAATCGTTACACGAGAAGACAGTGCGCACTCGGAGACGCGACGGTCGATCCTCAGTCATCTTGCTACAGTTCATTTTTACTTAAAAGAATATCAGCTCGCTTTCAAGGCTGGAGAAAAATCATATCATGTCAAAAGTGTTCCTTCTAAAGTAAGTATAAAGAGTGGTGAAGCTTGAATTTAAGGTAGTGTTATATTTGGCGAGGAGCTGTTGCGCAATCTTAACAAAACATCTCTTTTTTTTTTCAGGACGAAGCAGAAAGATGGAAAGAAAGAGGAAAGATGCTGTTTAGAGAAAAACAATTTCGTCTTCTCATCAAATATTACTCACTAGCCATTAAATTCACTTCAAATGAAGAACATTTTGTCGAACTTCGTTGCATGCTCTTGTCTAATCGAAGTATTGCTTACAATAAAAATGACGACTACCAAAAAGCTCTAGAAGATGCCGAAGAATGTGTTAGAATTAACCCACGTTGGTCAAAGGTACGTATTTTTACAGCTCTCAGCTCTCGTGTCTCCGTTTAAAGCTGGTGAAGACGATCCTTAATAATTTGCCGCTGTGTAGCTCAAGCCTGGGGTCGCGGGTTCAATTCCTCCCTCCGTAAAAATTAACACCTGAATTTCAGAAGTTTTGTGTCGTAAATAGTGAATTTGTTATAAGAGCCATGCTCATATTCGGTATTATATTCTACAAGGTCAACATCGTTTGGGTACCCAGCCATGCTTATACTCTGTATTATATTTTGCAGGGCCAATATCGCTTGGGGTCCAGTCTACTTGGCCTTGGTAGACACCAAGAGGCACTCGCTTCCTTTTGCAGAGCTTTTGAAGTTGCTGACCCTTCGGAATCAAAAGACATTGCGCTTCAGATCTTGTCAGTGGGTGAAAACCTTGAAGGTACGCTTGCTTGGAGATAAACTCATTTCCCCTGGGTCCCTTGGGTATACGAAGAGGCTCTTTCTCCCCCCTCTCCCACTTCTGTCGTGTCCTCACTCTTCTGTGTCTTCATGCATTGTGTCGTTCTTTCACGAAGCTGGTTCTATGGGACCCTTAAAACACTTGTCTCTCTCTCTCCCTGTAGCTCCCTTTCCCCCTCCTCATCTTTTCTTTAGGATATTCATGATATGCTTAAAAATATTGTATTGATAAAACCCTTAAAACGAATTCATTTTTTCAGACGGCATTTCCAGGGAATCACTGAATATGCCAAAACAGCTAGTCCAAGAACTGATCAAGCGCGTTACTGACGTGAAAGATTGGAAAAAACTTTATCTCCTATTTATGGGAGGTTCAGGTTCCCCACGCCAACGGTATGGTAAAGGAGGTTTGGCTACTGGCCTTGGTTGTGACACATCACGTGTTCCTCTGGAACTCATTGTTTATTGGGGTATTAGCAACAATGTCAAGTTCTTGGCCAGTTTTATTGAGGAGCTTCTAAAACATGGTGCACAAGTACTGGGCACCCCGGGATGTGATGAATCCCCTATTCAAATTGCCAGTAGGCTAAGAAATGATGAACTGCTGGAAGTGCTGTCAAAATACGACAAGGTAGCTAGTACTTATATTAATGCAGTTGGGGAATCGAGGATGATGTAGCGGTAGGGCCTACGCCTCTCACCTATAAGGAAATGCTTAAAGAAGTACTTTATTGCCCAAACAAACTTAAGTGTGAAAATACTCTGTGATGTCACTAAAAGTCATCTGGGCACCAAGAAAACTAGATGGGCTACCTTTTGCGAACGAACGCACGGACGGACGGACGAACGAACGAATGCACGGACGGACGGACCGACCGACCGACCGACCGACCGACTAACCAACCAACCAACCAACAAACGAACCAACAAACGAATGAATGAATGAATGAATGAATGGGTTAAGAATGAATGGGATAAGAATGAATGGGATAAGAATGAGAGTAGGTGACAGCTAGTAATGTATTAACTGTATTTAAACAGACTCAAGGAGGATACTGGAAAGAAGAAGGATTAAATGCATTTCGTTCGAAAAACTATGAACAAGCTATACGTTTCCTAACAACGGCTACCAAGTGTCATCTATCCACTCAAGAACAAATAGAAATCTATGGTAAACTGTCAGAAACCTACCACATCACCAAGGATTATCGAAAGTCCGTTGACAATGGACATAAATTGTACAATTTGAGGCCTTTGGAATCAAAGGTACGATGAGTTTATGAACCTGTTCAGAAGATTTTCTTGTGGCTTTAAGGAAATTATTGTGTGTGGGGTGTGGGTATTTGCGCGCTTGCAGACGTACATTGCACAAATAGGTGCACACAAAAGTTGGCTTTTGCTGAAGGAGAAAAATTATCAAAGCAAGTCCAAGGAAGAAATATCTTTTTAATTATATCTGGAGAGGTTATGCAGCACCTTTCATGACTTTCCATCACCAATTTCGCGGCCTGCTTAAAATTTCATTCCATCATTCTCCTTATATATATGTAAGTAAATGTCTAAACCGCCGTATTGACGTGCTTACTTGTTTTTTACACGTTATAGGCAATTTCCGAAAAGTGGAAGAAACGTGGAAACGATTTGTTGGGTGAAAGAAATTACGACATCATGATAGATTGTTACACCTTAGCTCTGAACTATGCTCCAGAGGGAGACTCTGATATGCGTGCTGCCATCTTGAGCAACAGAAGTATGGCTTTCTTGAACAAAAACTTGATTGCAAAAGCCAAAAACGATGCTAATCTGTGCATTTTGAATCGCAAGACATGGTTTAGGGTAAGAATAGTTATTTTTCCAGATGAATATTTCAATCCAAGAAATCGCCATTTTTATCCGAAGATTGTGTTTAGGAACTTCAGTTTTGCCCGGTTTTGACTTTTCATCTTAACGTAGTGAAATCCTTTGGAGAATGGCATTAATTAGGGCAAATTTTGTGATATTATTTGCTATTTCAATTTAGATTGATTAGTTTTTTAAACTTGCCTGAATCATGGGATTAAAGCAAATTGTTTTGACCAAAGTTTCTTGACTCTGAAATGGTTTCAACAATAAACCAATCAAAAAGGATCAACTTTCACACATCCAATCAGATTGCAAAAGCCGTTTTAGCGTCTTACCATATTTTCACGTGGCTTTGCAAGTTGTTTTCTATCGTTTTTTCCAACGGCGCCTTGACGATGAGTAATATTTTTGTATCTCCAGGGATACAGTCGCCTGGCGTCTTGTTTTTCTGCAGAAAACAACCACCAAGAAGCGATAAACCACTTATGCAAAGGCTTGTCTGCTGTTCAAACGGACGAAGAAAAATTCAACCTTGCCAACGACATAGTATCTATGGCTAAAAAGAAAGGTACCTTAAAATAGTTGTTTCATGCTGAGAGCATAAGTCGTGTGTAAAGGGGCTGTTTAAGTAACTGTAGAGTGGTACTCCAAGCACCACCTCAAAAAAATGAAGAGGCATCTATTTTGTTTACTTGGGTAACCCATTACCGCCATCACCATCATCTTAACGTATCATCAACATCGTCATGTACCGTAATCATCATCATGCATCACTATCATCATCATATCACCAATATCATCACTACTATCATTAACACCATAATCATCATCATCATCACTATCATCATCATATCACCAATATCATCACTACTATCATTAACACCATAATCATCATCATCATCACTATCATCATCATATCACCAATATCATCACTACTATCATTAACACCATAATCATCATCATCATCACTATCATCATCATATATCATCAACAACTTCGTCATCATTATCATTTACATGCAACATCACCATCATCATCATGAATCTTCACCATCATCATCATCATTATTATCATCATCACAATATAACATGTATTATCTACATCATTGTCATCATCATCATCAACATCGTTATTATCCTCAACACTTACATGTAACATCATTACCATCAATGATATGTATCAACATGCATCATCATCATGCATCATCATGCATCATCATCATCATGCATCATCATCATGCATCATCAT